TATATATATATATATATATATATATATATATATATATATATATAATCAGTCACTCTCAGTGTTGGCCAGAGAGGTTTCTGATTTGTAACAGGGAGCAGTCAGTGGAAAGACTCATAACTATTCAGAGTACTGAGACTAAGAGATATCTTCAAGCTACCACCACCACTGCCACTGATGATACCACTAAGCCACTGCCGAAACCACTGCCACCACCACCACCACTACAACCAGCACTACTGTCACCACCACCACTACCATAGCCCAGGAGGTAGAAACAGAAAGAATGTAAGAGCTGGATGATGGGCATAAGTGCCATGAAGTATTGTCTTGTGGACATAAGATGGCTATAACACTCATGAACTCACAACACAAGACCGTCACATGATCAAGTCAACCAAACTGAAGCATGTTCTCTAGACCCTATCCTGTGCTAAGGAAATGTAATTTATTTGCCAGCAGCTAGAGAAAATAATATTTTGCTTTGTTTTCTATTGTGTGCCCACTAGATTTCTTGTGCTCCAGTGGAAGTCTCATACCCATACACACATGGACATCACTAACTGGACCTAGTGGGCAGACAAAAAATAGGGGATCTGGAGAGATTGCTCAGTGGATAAGTGTGCATATTAATACCCTTTCTGAAGACCTGGCTTCATTTTCTTGCTCAACCATAGGGTGACTCACAACCACCTGTTAATTCCATATTCAGAGGATCAAATGCTGTCTTCTGCCTTCTGCAACCATGCACCTGCATGCAGAGCTCATGCACATACTCAGGCACACATACATGCACATATAATAAGTAAACCTAAAAGCAAGAGGAAATGAAGTTGGTAGGGGGAAAGTTGGAGGAGATTTAGGAGGAGCTGAAGGGGAGAAATCAGGAGTGCATGTGATCATGTTTCATTTTATATGTATGAAATTCCCAGGAACAAAGAAAAATACTATTAAAACAACCCAGTATTTGCAGAGTTGTCTATTGGGACAGAATGAGTTGGTAACACTAAATTTCCTCCATGTTAGAGACTCCATAACCATTATCATTGATAGGGAATTCTGTATCAATCTGGCAGGAGCACACACACTAATTCCACTGGTGCTTGTGTGTGATGTTGCTACAGTGTCCTACTAGCTTTGTCCTGTATATTCCTGTCTGTGATGAATTTAATAAGTATCTCACACTGTACTTGTAATGTCTCAAATTCTTTTTAATTTTTTATATTACAGTTTATTCACTTTGTATCCCAGCTATGGCCCCCTCCTTCATTCCCTCCCAATCCTACCCTCCCTCTCTTTTCTCCCCCTCTGCCCCTCCCCTAGTCCACTGATAGTGGTGGTCCTCCTCCTCCTCCATCTGATGCTAGCCTATCAGGTCTCATCAGGAGTGACTGCATTGTCTTCTTCTGTGACCGGTAAGGTTGCTCCCCACTCAGGGAGAGGTGATCAAAGAGTCAGCCACTGAGTTCATATGACTCAAATTCTTAATCTCCCTTCTTCTTTCTCATGTTGCAGAACTAAAGGCATGCATGGCTACAGTTATTTCAAACTTAAGAATTATTTACTTATAGACTTTTCCGTTCACTAATTTTTCCTCTTGTCTTGAAAGCAATGGATCACTGCTTTCAGAAATACTATAACTCCATGTAAGTGGGATTGATACATCCTTTACATATGGTAAAGTTTAGAATTGGAACTTAATATCACTTTGCTTTTCTTCTTAAACTACTGTATTTAATAAACCCATTATCTGCAGGAGAATTATTTGTCTTATTAATAATGACATTTGCCATGATATGTCTACTACTCTAAGACAAAGCAGCCAATATACCAAGAATTTGGTCTTTAGGATAGCTCCTTGGAAAATTGTTCACATGAGAAAAACAACTATCAAGATATTTGGCTGAGAATCTGGAAACTTGTAGCTGGAATCTGTGACCTCATACTAACATATTTCCCTTTTAGGAGGACTAGCTCCTACCAGGTGATTTGGAAACTTTCATTCTCATAACTTTCTGGGAAAATGTTATGTCTTTAATTATAATCCACCTATCATAGAATAGAATTCTAAATTTAAGTTTGTGACTTTCCAGTGAAATCACTTTTTGGCACCTGATACCATGGGTGTCATGGAAAGACGTGGAGGTATAACTATTTGTGTGGAAAAGCCTTTTTCTTACTGCCTCGTCCATGAAGAACTTCATCATTTTTACTCTCTTGGGAACTGTTGGTGAGTCTTCCAGATTAATGAATCTGAAAGTGTTAGAACTATTACTTGATATTTTCTACTGGGAAAGTCAACAGGGTTCATTGTTTGTGAGGGTTGAGAGCAAGAAGCTTAAAAGGTGGAGAAAGGAGTAGCCATGGTAGTATGTACCCACACTTATTATTGGTTAAATCTCACTTGTTGGAGGAAATTTATCATGTCAAGAATTGATTCAGAGAGGAGGGTTCATAAAGAAATGCAGATGTTTTGAACTCCTGAGTACATTCTAGGAATTTGGAAGAGAAGGAGAGATTAGTATACACACACACAAGCACACAAACACACACACGCACACTTCCATTGACTTCTAAGAATTCAGAGCTAGTAAGTGACTGAAAGTACTATGTACTTCTTGAAGGGCCAGTGATCACCACATCCTGAGTCTCCTAAAAGCTGAAGGGACAGTCATTTACCCAAGAAATCTTAACAATAAAAATATTTTATTTCTCATTGATGAAAGTTTGGGCTGTTTGAAGACAGCTTTTTAAGTGAACTCTCTCTAATATAAACTTATAAGTCATTCAGTTGTGATAAAATGAAAAATAAGCATTTTAATACTACTAAATTAATTTTTAATACTACTAAAATTTTATTGTTAAATTTTAATATTTAATTTTTCTATGTAAATCCAGTAGAAATGTAATACATTTGTTAACTTGATTAAAATTGTTCTAAAATTAAAGTATTGGAATAATAGGACGAATATTTTTTAATAAAATAGATGTGGGGCTGTGAAAAATCGTGATAGATAATTGTGAAGTATGAAAATGCTGAATGGGTCATTTGGTGTTAGAAAGAAAGTCAGCTAATACTGTAAAAGATTTTAGGTTACATAATTGGGAAGAGGGACTGCCCCTGACATAATCTGATTGGCCTGCTCTTTGATCACCTCCCTCTGAGGGGGGAGCAGCCTTACCAGGCCACAGAAGATGACAATGCAGCCACTCCTGAGGTGATCTGATAGACTAAGATCAGAAAGAAGGAGAGGAGGACCTCCCCTATCAGTAGACTTGGGGAGGGGCATGCATGAAGAAAGGGGAGGGAGGGTGGGATCGGGAGGGGAGAAGGGAGGGGCTTATGGGGGGATACAAAATGAATAAAGTGTAATTAATAAAAGTTAAAAAAAAGAAAGGGGGATAAGCAAAACAAAAACAAAAAAATTAAAAAAAAAAGATTTAAATGGATTTTTGTCTGTCATTCATGTTTGTGTACATGACAGTATTGTTCTGCTGAGATAACAAAAATTTCCCTATATAGTTCAAACTGTCCTGAAACTCACTATGTACCTGTTAGTCTAGAGCTCATATTTAGGGAAATGATAGGAAAATTTCATGTTAGACTCCAAGAGAAGATGACAGAATAAAAAGAATTCAAAACTATCATTTCTTTCTAGGAAAGAATATTCTTATATGGCTTTTAAATTTCCCCTATTAACTTATGAAGACAGCTTTTTTGTTGTAACATTTCATCAACTACCACAAACATACACCACAAAGATTACTGGGACGTTTACTCTTGTGAGGTAGTTGTGTGTGTGTGTGTGTGTGTGTGTGTGTGTGTGTGTGTGTGTGTGTGCACGCATGCGCGCAGGTGTACTCACCTATGGATGTGAAGACCAGATGTCGACTTTGTATATCTTTCCCTGTCATTGTCTATATTTTTGGAACAGGGTCTTTCACTGAACTTGAAGTTTTCTATTTTCAGCTTCACTGGCTGGCCAGTGGGGTCGGATTATCCTTCCTGTCTCCAGCTGCTCTCCTTCCCACCCAGCATTGGGGCTAGAGAGCACATCATCAGACCTGACCTCTATGAGGGTGTTAAGAGAGCTGAACTCAGATCCTCACGCTTTCACAGTAAATTGTGCCTACTGAGCATCTCCCCACTGCATACTACAAAGCTCTCTGTGCCTTTAAATGATTAGCTCTGCAGTGGTAGTAATAAGACATTTACTATTCAAAGAGCCTCTGATCTGCATAAATCTGTGGGTGCCTCTATGAGTTACAATGTGTATATATTATATATGTATGTATACATACACATACCTGTGTGTGTGTGTGTGTGTATATATATATATATATATACAGAGCATGAAGAAAGTAGGAAATAGTAAGATAGTAAGATCTGGAGAGGACAGGAGTTCCACAAGGAGAGCAACAGAACCAAAAAATTTGAGCACAGGAGTCTTTCCTGAGACTCATACTCCAACCAAGGACCATGCATGGAGATAACCTAGAACCCCTGCACAGATGTAGCCTATGGCAGCTAAGTGTCCAAGTGGGTTCCATAGTAATGGGAAGAGGGACTGCCTCTGACATGGACTGATTGGCCTGCTCTTTGATCACCTCCCCCTGAGTGGGGAGCAGCCTTACCAGGCCACAGAGGGAGACAATGCAGCCACTCCTGATGAGACCTAATAGACTAAGATCAGAAAGAAGGAAAAGAAGACCTCCCCTATCAGTGGACTTGGGGAGGGGCATGCATGGAGAAGGAGGGAGGGAGGGAGGGATGGGGAGGGGAGGAGGGAGGGAGTTATGGGGGGATACAAAGTGAATAAAGTGTAATTAATAAAAAAATTTAAAAATACATGGTTATTCATCATTATATAAGAAGGGTCTGGGTTCAAGGTGCAGAATAATGAATAATCAAATAGACAACCTAATGGCAGTTATATTAACTGCTCTTCTTACTATTGTGGCAAAACCAAACAGGGGCCATTTAAGGGAAGAAATATTATTTTGTCTCAGTTTGAAGAGTATGGTGAACCTTGTTAAGGAGGTTGTGCTGGGGATGACTCATAAAGGTGGTGGTGGGAGGGTAGGGCACCGGACTCCATTATCTGGCAGTCAGGAAGCAGAGACAGACAGAGCTGCTACTCATCAGGCTCTTCCCCTTCCCATTTTGTTCAGTCTGGATCTATATCCCACGGAATGGCACATCCATGTTTACAGTGTGTCCTCCTTTTACAGTTAGGCCTCTGTGGAGGTCACCTCACAAAGACACAGATGTGTCTTCCAGGTGATTCCAAAACCAGTCACGTTGTCAAGAAAAGTTAACCATCACACTGATGTCGTGTGTGAGAGAAAAGAACACTGTCATCTCTTTTGTCCTTAGTTTGAAATAAAGCTTCATGATGCATGACGTAACATGACAGACCAGTGTACCAGAGAGTAACCTTTCTCTCACAGCTGCTTCCCTCACTGAGGATAATGATGACAGAATTGTTGGGGGCTACACTTGTCAGGAGCATTCTGTCCCCTACCAGGTGTCACTGAATGCTGGGTCTCACATCTGTGGGGGATCCCTCATCACTGGCCAATGGGTACTGTCTGCTGCTCACTGCTATCATCCGTAAGTAGGCCAATATTCCAATTTTTATACTTTAAAATCACTTTTTCCTCAAAGCTTACCAAATTCAATTATGCTTGATAGATAAAGAATTCTGATCTTATGAGACTTATTAGTCATCCCACTGCTTTATTATGTATGATATTAATTTATTATAAAAGATGTCAACATGGATTGATATACTTAAAGTTCACTGCTGTCTTAATTATGGTACTAAAAAGATAGGAGGATGGTAGATGATAGATCACTAAAAGAGCTTTAGAATGTGAATCAAAGCCCTCATAATTATAGTTCATAAGTCATAAGAAAACAGAAGCTGTTAACAAATAATAATAATAATAATAATAATAATAATAATAATAATAATACTTCCAGTGCAACAGTACAAATAAAAGTAATCGAACTGTTCCTCTCGTTTATTTCTATCCCTCTGATTCTTGCTTTAGTGATCCCAACAAAGGAAGAACAGTGTTAGTCAATGCCCACCAAACTTCTTTTGGTAGGGTACATTTTGTTTCTATTCCTGTGCCTCCCAATTCTAAGATGATAGTAGGCTATGAGTCTCCACTAGCAAAGACTCTTAAGACGGAATTCTGTAACCTCTGCCAGGACTAGTAATGCGCACTTACTTCAGAGGTCCCGTGCTTAAACAGAGTGTAATGTTTATGCTCATGATTAAGAGGTGTTGGAGAAAAGAAAGGATATTCATGTAGGATACTTAAACTATTAATTTTTTTTTATTTTTTTGATAATATACTATAATTATGTAATTTCCCCTTCCCTTTCCTCATTTAAAACCCTCTACCCATATATCTTTCCTCAGTTTCTTTCAAATTCATGACCTCTTTTCTTAATTGTTATTATGATTGTGTTTGTGTGTGTGTGTGTGTGTGTAGTTTTGTGTGTATAGCCTGCTCAGTCCATATGTTACTTGTATGTTTTCTATATGTAGATATATGTGTATGTGTGTATATGCATGCGTATGGGTGTTTATGTATATGCATATGTGTGTATACATGTGTGTAAATGCATATACATATCATATACATGTATGTATACATATAGTATGTTGCTATAATGTTTTCAGGGCTGACTATTTGATATTGGTTAACCAATTAATAGACTCATCTCTTAGTTGCTTGTAGTTCTTTGTGTAGGGTTAGGGCCTCAGGGCTTTTCCCCAGTCAACCTTAGTGTGTCTGCTAGTATCATCCTTGTTCAGAGCTATACCCACAAAGTCTCCCCATCTTGACAGCCTAAATATGAGCTGAACAAAGACACTTAAACTTTTAATTTGTAAACCCAGCCAACTACAGGTGCGCCTTGGAGAACATAACATTCACAAAATTGAGGGTGTTGAACAGTTCATTGATGAAGCCAAGATGATCCCCCATCCTGGTTATAAGAATTGGGATTCTGATAATGACATCATGCTGATTAAGCTGAAGTCACCAGCTACCCTCAACTCTCAAGTATCTACTGTCTCTCTACCATAGTCTTGTCCTTCAGCTGGTACTGAGTGCCTTGTGTCTGGCTGGGGCGTTCTGAAATTTGGCTGTAAGTGTCTCTGTGATTACGTAAGTATTACATGTAAGGGCTGGAAGTGAAATGCACCTTAATGATGGAAGGAATTCTCATCCAAGGTATGGTTCTCAGAGGACAGCTTTGAACCTACCATTTGAAAAATAGCAGCTGAAGTTAAGAAAATTTCTCCAATGAGTCCAAAGAAACAGAAAATAGATGAACTTAGAAAGACTTCAGGGAGTTTAACTACATTTTATATTTAAGCTAAAAACTACCACTAGAGAAGGAATATAGGAGAGCCCAGTGTTGGCCTCAGTGCTGGCAAAAGCTTCTGGACTTGAGAGCAGTGGTTACTGATAGTAATGTCAGGGAAAGAGTAACTGATGAGTAAAATTATTTAGAAAACCTACCTTAAAACCTCCAAATTATATTGTTTTCTAAGTATTATATTATGAATGAGAAGGCAAACATGATAGACAGTGGAAGTGGCAGAAGAGAGGAAACGGGACAGGAGCCTACTGTAGTTGTCCTCTGAAAGACTCCACCCAGCTAGAGATCGCAGCAGATGCAGGGACTCGCAGCCAAACTTTGGTCAGGGAGTCTTACGGAAGAAGGTGGGGACTGAAGGACCTGGAGGGGACAGGAGCTCCATAAGGAGTCCAACAAAGCCAACAAATCTGGGCCCAGGTGGTCTTGCAGAGACTGATGCATCAACCAAGTGCCATGCATGGAGAGGAGCTAGATCCCTTGCTCAGTTGTATCCATGGGCAACTCAGTCTCCATGTGGGTTCCCTAGGGGGTAAGGGGAGCAGGGGCTGTCTCTGACATGAGCTCTTTGCCTGCTCTTTGATCACTTCCCCCTGGCAGGAGATCTTAGCAACCCACAGAGGAAGAGGATCCAGGCAGTCCTGATGGGACTGGATAGGCTAGTATTGGAGGAGGACTCCCTCTTTTAGTGGACTAGGGAAGGGGGATAGGGGAAGAAAAGTGAGAGAAGGTGGGTATGGGTGAGGGAGGGAGCTACAATTGGAACATAAAGCGAAAAATTTAAAAAAAATATATGCTTTATGTATGCATGCTTTGTCTGCATGTGTGTGTGTTGTACCCCATTCATGCCTGGTACTCCCAGAAACAAAGCTTTAAAAATGACAGATGCCCTTATAAAAATTAATAGGTAAAATAGGAAATAAATGTTAAGAGTAAGTCTGAATAATTTGATTTTCACCTTTACACTCTGCAGCCGAGAGTCCCTCCCTTCTTCAGGGTCTGGATGCTCCAGTCCTCTCGGAGTCTGTTTGTCACAAGGCCTATCCACGTCAGATCACTGACATGTTCTGTCTTGGCTTTCTGGAAGGAGGAAAGGACTCTTGTCAGGTGAGGGTTTTGTCTGTCTCTACCTGCCGATGTCTGTCATGAGATGGTCCATCTCTCTTACCCATGATATTTCTCATATGGAACAGAACTCTGTACCTGCATCTCAGTCTGAGAGGTGAAGAAGGGCTTTGAGAAAATGTGATTGTTTTCTCTTCATGATATGATGATGACTATTACGGGTAAAAGGCTAAAGAGCTGATGGTGTGTGAAATGTTTTACATTTCACAAGCAACCTTGTGTTGTGGTGAAAGAGACAGCTTGAGAGTCATATCAGACCACCGCAGTCCTCACTTGTTTTTGCACACCCGATCCCCAAATGACTGCAAGAAGAAAGAGGTGGGGTCATAAAAAGAATAGAGTTGTACAGATAGAGATACTGAATAGACTGACAACTGCATTTTTAAGGACAGCCAATGTTTTGTGGAGGATCAGTGGATCCCCAAGAACATGGAAGAACATGTTGAATGCCATTATCCCTCTTGGAATAACCAAGATTAACTGCCTTCCCTTTGTTTCTCAGTATGACTCTGGTGGCCCTGTGGTCTGCAATGGACAAGTCCAGGGTATAGTTTCCTGGGGTGCAGGCTGCACTTTGGAAGGGAAACCTGGTGTCTACACCAAGGTCTGCAACTACCTGAACTGGATTCATTAGACCATTGCTGAAAATTAAGTGCCATTATCTTTTCTGGTGTCACCTTTTGGCGAAATTCTTTCTCTGTCTAAAATCCATACTGGAATAAAACCTTTTTCTCTGCTCTAAATGTTTTGACTCTTGCTGCTAAGGAAGGAATTGGACAAAGTTGGTCAATTAAAGACAGTTTAGATGTTATTCAGTCATTCATGCAACCTAATCAGACAGTTTCACTGATCACATATTGTATTCCAGACTCTGTGTGAGACACTGAGGCTGAAATAGTCTCTTTAATAAAATTAGTCTTAATATATAATATTAGTCATGGTATAAATTTTGTTATAATACATGCTGAGTCATAATATATATAATTTATCATGTGCTACTGACTTTCTACAAAGTTCTGAGAATTAAAATCAATTACTAAAACTCACTCAAATTGTTATTAGAAAAATATCACAACACATAATCTGTGCTTATCCCCAATGCATTGCTCCTTGTGTAATATAATACTCACGTTGTCTTTCATCTTTAAACCATCCAATGTTTCCTGGAGATAGTAGAAAGGAAACCTCAACATTCAGAAATGTTTGGATTCACAAGTTTCTTGCATTTTCTAGTTTCACCTACTCTGATATTTCAGCTCTCCAGGGTCTTCCTGCATTCCAGTGCCCTCTGAAGAGGCTCTTCAATCCATTTTTCTAGTCATCTGTGAAACCCAGCCCAGAACAAAATCAGAAGCCCTGGGCAGAGAGTGAACCACAGCATACAAGTCTGCAGAGAGCAGATGAAATATTACAACCCAAAATATTTCTTGGGTTGTAAAGGGTTGCTTGGACTTTTCAGGCCTTGCTGAGATGTACCACCTCCTGTCCTTGGTTCCCTCATGTCTCTCTTTCAATTTGTCATTTTTTACATGAATCACCATGAAAAAGATTTGCAGATGAGGCTCAATTGAGTATTCCTAGGAATATCTGGCACAAGACAAAAGAAAGGACATAATGGTACCTGAGCAAAAATCTTTGAGTGAATGGGTCAGGCTTAATGTGGAAAAATAAGCCTAGACAGAAAAGTGAGGCAATCATACTAATGTAATCAGCTCAGACTACTATAACAAAATCCTCATGGGCTGGAAATCTTCAACAACGCAGAGTTTCATATTTATGGATGCAATTGAATCCTAGATTAAGGTATTTGTAAGTATAGTTTCTAAGGAAGGCTGGTTTTCTGGTTTTCTACTATATCCATAATCTTTTGGTATAGATGAGAGGAGTGAATCCAATTTAATGGTGACAATTTTTCAGCTTTGTTTCTGAGTTGATTTATCTAAAGACATTACTGTACAACCATCCTGTAGTTTAGTTTTTCTTGTCCTTGGCTACATAGATAGGCCTATCCTTATTGTTGATCCCACATCACAGGGGATGTAGTGAAAGACTGGGAGTAAGCACTGTAACTCCTTCTGGCACGTTTGAGCAACGCGGAAATTTAAAAAGAGCTGAATTCAGACTATCTGGAGTTCACTTTTGCGGTTAGTCTCATCTGCTCTGTAAGCCAAAGCCTACAACAACCAGATGCTCTCACACGAGCTGTAGCACATCTGTACTATTTAACACACAATATGTTACATCAAAAATAAAACCAAAACATAGAAGATCAAAAAAGCATTCAGTTTTCATAGCTTAGAATTGAGAAACATTTTTGTAAAACTTTTTCACAAAAGATATCCAGATACCCAAAAAAAAGCCAGCCTGTTTGTAAAATTACTTAGCTCTCTAAGATAACTGCAAAGGAGAAAATACATATAGATACCAACAGTCACTGGGTAAGCATGCTAAACACAAACACATAACTATGTCATATTCCTATGGATATCAAACAATCCATGAAAATATTAAAATTCATCTATAAATATAGTTCTGTGTATTTTTTTAATTCCTGGGTCCCTCCAGAAATCCTATTAATTTCTAGGCTAAAACATATAATTTCAAGTTTTAGCAAATACGTTAAAGGTTTGAGGCACAAATTTTAACAGGATCATTGTAATATGAAAACTTTGTCACTTGACAGACTTATTTCTCTTCCTAAGACAGTCACACGGAGAATTCTGATCATTAAGCAAGTTAACTAAGCACAAAAAAAAAGGTAATATTATAATTTTAGTAAGTTGGTTCTCCAAGCAAACCTTCTCATTTCAGTACAGTTTAATTTTGGAACCAGAATCCTGTTCCAAAGTAATGCTGGCACTGAGGAGGTTAAGATTGGGAAGTACCAGTTCACAGCCACTGGTGTTCTGGGCCACATGCAAGGCTCTGTTTCCACAAAACAAACAAGTCTGACAATACTTACATTATCTTCTCAGTTCCTACAGAAGCTTATGATTTTCGCCAACCAATCACACAGCATCTTCAAACTTTAATATCCTCAAAAGCATATCCATAGAGCTAGGGCCACTGCTCAGTGCTGACAAGCACTTGCTGTTCTTACACGGACCCCTGCACTCACAGCTCTGGCTCCAGTAGTTGTAACATACTCTTCTGGCCCCCACGGGAACCCATATCTATGTGATGCATACAGAGACACATATACATAGAACAACAACAACAACAATAATAATAATAATAAACATGCTCTTTAAAAGTGTTTTAATCTTTCATAGCTTGTCTAAACTCTCATTTTGTCTTTTTTTTGGTTATTATGAGATTACAGTAAATGTAGCTTTCAGAGAATAATCAAATCATCTAGTGAATATTGTTTGAGTTAACAATTCTATATCTTAAAGTTACTAAAAAATTGAAACATTAAGGATTTCTATTTACACATGTGTGTTCTGTGTCTATTCACCAAGTTTATCTCTTCTTAGGAATTCTAACTGTTCATGGAAAAACTTGAGGCTTTAAATAGATCTAGGACGTCATTATTTAGGTATTTTGTTTGTATTTCTGTTTCTACTGTTTATTAAATTAATCTTAACTGAAAATCTATATGCAAAATCGTAAGATAAGCAATTGTCCTATTTTCATCTTGCAATTTTTACCTAATCTTTTCTGTCCTGTAGGATAGACACAATATAATTTACAATTGTCATTTGCAAGTTTTCTGTAATTATGCCTATTATCCACGAGAGACCATCATCTCTGTAGCTCCATACTTATTTAAATCTCTCACATTCATCATCAGAGGTGACTATACCGTACCTCTATAGTCATCATTCCAATGATGACTACTGTCAAATGCCTGTTATTGCTTATCCTGGAGTCATAGCTTGCAAACAGATTTAATAGCAGTCTTACAGGATGTGGGGGGGGGGGAGGGGAAGGAATCCTTTAAAAAAAGAAAAGAAACGAAAGGAAAAGAAAAGAAAAGAAAAGAAAAGAAAAGAAAAGAAAAGAAAAGAAAAGAAAAGAAAAGAAAAGAAAAGAAAAGAATTTCCCTGAACCCTGAGTGTGTGTTATGGCTACCGCAGTCTTAGCTTCTGCTTTCCTGGGTTATACTAGGGATCCATATACAAGCATGGGCTCTCCTCATCCTGCCTATACCCATCGCAATACTGGTCTGAATCTCGGAAACCTTGGTACTTGCTTATCTCTGAATTGATCACCTCTCATGGGCAGGGCATGTTCAGAGCTGTCTGTTGCATGATAAGGAAGGCACTCCGGCTGGTGTCTCTCCGGTAGAATCCCAATCTCTAGCTCAGCTGAAAGAACAATCATCATGGTCAATACCCGGAAATGCCAGATAGAATTCTACTGTTACCTGGAGACTCTTCACTGAGAGGCGGGGAACTGAGCAGGAAACCCAGGTCCTCAAACTCAGCATAACTAAAACCTCTCAACCTGTCTGGATTGCTGGGCTAACGTGGTATGTGCACTGTACTGATATCTAATTATCTAACGAATCCCTTAATGGCGTCTTCTGTCACATCAGAGGCCACATTCCCCAGGCAAGCAGTGTGTCGAGTGTCAATTGGGATGATCGCACCAGTCGATGGGTTCTGCAGCAGCTTCATGGAGCACTCAGAAGGGTGTTTGGAGGCGCCTAACACACCCTGCCATCATTTCCGCCACAAATTGTTGACAAATTCCCTTCCAGGTCATCTGCGTCTTCAGCCCAGCTGACTGATTTGGGGACAGAGACACTCCACAATCCATCATTCTCAGCCAAAAAGACTACTAGGGAGATGGTCTTTTCTTCTTATCTGTCTCTTTTGCTGAAGCCATCATGCTATGCAGGTATTTTTAAGGCTGTCTCCTTAAATAAGAGCCCTACAAAGTGAAATACAGTTATCAAGCTTAGCTACATTTTTAATAAGCCAACAGTATTATAGAATGTAATCTATTTAAGTTTGTCCAAGTTATACAAACAATGAAAACCACTTTTTACACTTTCAGTTTATGAGCTGTTATTTATTTTTAAGTCACTTAAGGACTATTTAAACCCTGTATGAAGAATACTGTTGATTTTGTGTATTATAAAGATTCCTGACATTTTTTCAGACATGTAACTACTTTAAAAAGTAAATTCTTATTTTGGAAGATTTATTTATTTTTATTTTAAGTATGTAAAGATTTGCTTGCACTTATGCTTGTGCACTATCTGCCCTCAGAGCTTTGACAACATCTTCCTATCTTCTGGAAACCAAACCTAGGTCTCCTGCAAGATCCGCAAATGCTCTTAAGAGTTGAGCCATCTTTTCAAGCCCAAGAAATAAGGCGTTAACAGAGTCAGTGATCACCAAAACATCTTTTCATGTAAAATCTTTTAAATCATAAATTTATAAACAACTATAATTTTGGAGAGTCCTTTTACATATCTATGACCTAATAAGTGCAGATCTGGTGTCTCAATTTTATTATGTTTTTATTTTACTTATTAAAATATTATGCAAAGATTTAGAGAGTTTAGGGTACATGTGTTTAATACATGCAAAATGAACAATGTATGTATTCTTTTGTACAATATATATTGCATGTGGACCTTCAATGTACAAATGGCCACTAATTTTTTTTGACATTCTGATTTTGTAAATCCTATTTTTAAATATCTAAACCTTGTCTACATCTATGTGCCTTGAGTAAGCAACCCATTTGCTGCTATCCGTAGAAGTGAGAAAAATGGCTGCAGATCAGGGGGTAGTTTCTCTACAGTCACCAACACTATCCCTTTAAACTTGTAAGCAGTTTGTTGTAGTTACTTGTTTGATACTTTGATAAAACACCTTGACAAAAACAGCTTCAGGGAGAATGAATTTGCTTTGGTGACAGTTCTATACAGCCTCTTTGGGAAGACTTGGAGGCAGAGTAAGACAGAGCACTCTGCCTCAGCAGTCTGGAAGCAGAGAGCAAGACCAGGAAGTACAGCCAGGAAATAAAACCTCCAAACCCAACAGCAGTGGTTGCTTTTTCTGCCTCCTACAGTTTGCATCATGTTTACCAGTAACACCACTCTCTGGCACCAAGCATTCAAATACATACGCCTACAGGGAATGTTTCACATTCAAAGAGCAGTGAGCCTTCAGACCTTAATTTTTGTCAATGTGGGTGGCCTCCTGTTTTACACAGCCAGTGATTCTAAATTTCACTACAGAAGTAGAAAAAAAGAAGTTAATATATATGAACTATTACTATATAGCTATAATGCTAATAGTTGCTAGTTTCTTCCTTAATAGGTGAAATTGCTTCCTAAGTATATGTGCCTTCAAAAAAGCAAAGCTTTAAAGAACTCTATCAAATTTGTGTGCTCCAAACTAAACTTGGGAGTTGTTCTAGCCTTTTCTCAGGCTTCATTCTTGTGCTCTGAACTGCATGAAGATAATTTGAGATGATCAGGCACTGTGTGCTCTAAGCAGTACCACTCTAATAATTAGAAGTATTGGTCACTGAGAGAGTACAGCTGTATACAAATAGAACACATTCTACTTTATTTGTACACTTTTTTCTTTTTGTGTGTGTTTGCATATTTTAAAATTTTTATTATTAGGACATTTTTATCTCTGAGGGTACAAAATTAAATTAGTTTATGTTTCAAAGTCCTATTATTGAATAATTATGTCATTTTTTAAAACTGAAGCAATAGTTTAAATGTATTTATAAAGGGATAATATGAATGACTTGCTGGTCTTGACATAATACTTTCAACCATAATTTTTATCTTAAATGCTACATGAGAAACAACAGTAGGGGTTTGTCAAGTGCAAAAAATTTCAAAATTTGAACCATAGCTGCTCTAAGCTTTTTGCCATCCAGTGACAGGGGGCAAGTAAAACCAAAACACAGAGTGTTTTATAAGTGATGACTTCAGAGAAAACTGTTCAAAGGGGGGACTTTGTCACAAAGTGATGATATAACACCCATGCTGGCACACAACTGTAATTTCAGCACTCAGCAACCCAAAACAGTAGAATTGCACAGACTGGCCTTGAACTCGTTACCTAGCCCAGGGTGATATCAAACTTAGTTCCTCTAACAAATAAAAGTAAGCATGAATTTATTGGATCAGAACTACCCTCAGTTTTTCTAACAAATGAATCATTCATTACATTACATTTAATTGTATGACATGTGTCTATAAAATCGATAAAAGTACATAATTGTGAAGCAGCTCTTAGTTACAGACCAATGGTACAAGAGTAACATAGTCCTTTGGGCAAAAGGACTACCAAAATCTTGTATTTTTATCTGGGAATCCAGAAACATACAGCTGTGCATGATGAGCTGCATACAACCTCTTTCTTTTTGCAATGAACGCTTCCCACCAGGTGGGTTGGCAACTTCCAGGCATCTCAGAAAGTAGGAAATGCTTACCTGTGGTCCTGTATTATCTTTCATCTGCCACAGACTTGCCTTTTTTTTCTCACTTTACAGTGAAATATCTTTTCTGGCACCTATGGCCCTGAGTGTCAATGACAAATCTGGAGGTATAAGTAGCTGTGGAGAAAAAGCCTTTATCCTGTTTTCCAGTGCAGAACTAGTAAGCAGCCATGAAAACCTTCCTCTTCCTGGTTCTCCTTGGAGCTGCTGGTAAGTCTTTCAAAAGAATGCATCAGCAGATATATACTTTGCGTATAAATGTGTGGTTTGTTCTTAGAAATCAACAATGGTTGTTGAATATAGGGTCTGAAAGCAAGGTGGTTGAAATGTAGGAAAATTAGTATGTAGCATTTGTGTTTATAAATGGCTACATTTTTATCAGGGACAGTTTATGCAAACTAACTGTCCACAGTTTGAGGCATAGAGATGCAGGACGTGTTCTGAACTTCCAGGCATTCTCTCTTAATAGGAGGAGGAAAGGAAACAGCAGTTCACATAAAAGAAGTGTTGGTCCTGATCTCTAAGACATGGAGTTGATGACTAAAACTAATGTGTTCCCTGAAGATGCCATGAGCCTGTAAGCCTGAGTCTCCTGAAGACTGAAGAGCTGGTTATTTACTAGGGGCAAGGGATCTGACTTGGCCTAGAAATCATATGAATCACAGATTAAAACTTAACCTGTGTTTTGAGAAACCTGTTGATGAATTCGTATTGGTATAAAGTCACACGTCATTTGAGTGTGAGAAAAAAGAGGGAATTGTCTATTTCAGTGTTAGTACTACCAAATTTTTATTACTAAAACTTTATATTAACTTTTCTCACATTGAACAAGCATAATTTATTACAAGCCTTGAAACTTCTCTCTCAAATTATGCATTTAAATATTAGAAAGCAAAGATCACACACCACAATTAAAGGAACTCATAGTTACAGGAAATCAGAAATCATAACAAAAATGCAGGTCATAGTTCCCAACCTTAAATATGACAATGAATAGTGGCGAGATAATCAGGATAAAGGGAAAGATCAGGGAAGGGCAGTGTGGTGTTCTATAAAATGCTCAAATAGACACTTCAGGATAGATTCAAAGAAAAAGTTGGCAAAATAAAATTCAAAACAATTATTTCCTTCAGAGGTAGAATATACTTACTCATGTGGTTTCTGCAAATTCCATTTCTATTACCTCATGGAAACAGCTAGTTCACACCAACGTGTCATCACCTGCTATAAGCAAACACACCCGGCGAGTTACTGTGCAGTAACTTTTACTTATTTGCATGGGTGTCGAGTCCAATACTATACTAAAAATAATATCTATATCCTAAATCAATGTTGTAAGACATTTGTTTTTTAATAGTCTCCTCTGTGTGTGAATGCCCTTATATATGTGTGTGTGAATATGTATTTGTAAGAATACAATGTTTGTCAAGCCTAAAGCATTATCTAACGGTGAATCTTCCTTGTATAAAGAACTTCATATAAGAGGCATATAATAATAAGTTATAAAAATATCTACATTGAAGCTAGTGGTAATGGTGCATACCTTTAATCTAGCATTCAGGAGGCAAAGGTAGGTAGGTCTCTGAGTTTGAGGCCAGCCTAGTCTACAGAGTGAGTTCTAGGACAGCCAGGGCTACACAGAGAAACCCTGTCTCAAAAACAAAAATTACACTGAAATAAAACACTAAAAAGAAAACAACTACATACCTGAAATCAACATTTCCTGATTTGCTGATGACAGAGAACACTGTCGTCTCCTGTGTAATTAGTCTGCATAAACTTTGTGGAACAGAAATCAATGACAGATCTGTATAACAGTCTCTGCTTCTTCCCTAACAGCTGGTATCCCCATTAATGAAAATGATGACCTGCTTATTGGAGACTTCAAATGTAGGAACAACTCTGTCTCCTACCGGGTATCCCTGAATGCTGGCTACCACTTGTGTTCAGGCTCTCTTATCAGTGACCAATGGGTATTAACTGCTGCTCACTGCTACAAGCCGTAAGTTTCCAATATTCACAGTCCTAAATTCTAAGGTTGCTTTTCCCTTTGCTTCATAGAAGGGTAAACAAAAGGCAGTAATATGTTTGATGAGTGAAATAATTTTTATATTTATCATTTACTTGGGGTGGGGCAATGTGGAGGTCAGAGTACAATTTTCTAGAGTTGATTCTTTCCTTCTCCCATATGGGTCCCAGGAATCAAACGCAGATCATCAGGCTTAACAACAAGCACCTTTACCTACTGAGCCATTTTGCCAGCTCCCTTGATGGATTAAAGAAGGATAAGTCAGGGTCTACACGTCTTTAGTAGTCATAAGAAATTTATGAGCAATGACAGGTGTTGCCTTTGGGTCTTACAGATATTTTTCTAAATAATGAAGTAGTTTTAAAAAATCTGAAGCCTGGCTGCAAAGTCTTCCTCTGTGGTCTATGAGGGCTATTCCTCCCTCGGTAGAGGGGCGGGAAGGTCAAAGAGCCAGACATTGAGTTCATATCAGAAATAGTCCCTGTTCCCCTTACCCCTTACTAGGGAACACATTTGGTTACTGAGCTACCATGGGCTACATCTGAGCAGAGGGTCTAGGTTATATCCATACATGGTCCTGCTACATCTGAGCAGAGGGTCTAGGTTATATCCATACATGGTCCTTGGTTTGAAGATGCCTGATAAGCTAGGGTCAGATGAAAGGGAAGGAGGTCCTCCCCTATCAGTGGACTTGGAAAGGGTTAGGGAGAAGATGAGGGAAGGAGGATAGGATTAGGAGGAAAGGAGGGAGCAGGATACAGCTTGGATACAAAGTTAATAAACTGTAACTAATATTAAAATTTAATTAAAAAAAAAAACCTGAAGCCATATACATGGTCTTAATAGTTATACCTCAGCCATGACTATAAAAATGTCATATGAAGTAATAAAATGTACCATATTCCTATTATAACATTAAAAAGGAAAATTTGTTCTGTGCTCTAAATATTTTCTATCTCTGGCTTTTTTCTCACTTTCCTATAAAACTTTGTTACAAAAACCCATAAGAGAAATAGTGAGTGCTAATCGTTCTTCTCCAATGCCATTTCTACCCCCTTCTGCTTTGTGTGGGGGCACTTTCCTCCATCTTGAATTCTGAGGAGACAGTGGGCTCAGAGTCTGCACCAGCAGTGTCGCATAAAGAGCACTCCAACTGTGCCTAGGAAAGGAGTAACTGGTGCTTCCTAACGTGTAACTAACTGAGTTCAAGAATAGGGTGGCGTTTATGTTTATGTTCATGGTTAAAGGTTGAGGAAAGAACTCCAAAACAGATATTTAGAAAACTGTTAATCCTTATAAATATAGCCAAATACAGGTCCGACTGGGAGAAGTCAACATTCATGAAATTAAGGGTGCTGAGCAATTTATTTCCGCGGCCAAAATCATCCCTCACCCCAACTACAACAATGGCACCACTGATAATGACATCATGCTGATTAAACTGACCTCACCAGCCACCATTGACTCTCATGTGTCCACAGTCTCTCTGCCAAGCTCCTGTCCATCGGCTGGTACTAAGTGCCTGGTGTCAGGCTGGGATGACACAGTGAGCATTGGACGTAAGTGTTCCCTAAAACATAAGCTTTAACTGTAAGAACCCCCAGACATGTAAGGCTCATGGTGTGTGCCTGGTTCACATACTCACTCAAAGTGCATTGCCCTAAAGGCAATTTTAGACCCACATATACTATTAAATGTTAAAAAGTCTGGTTTGCTGAGATGATATAAAAGATAAGATGAAAATTATTAGAAAGAGATCAATGTATTTAATTTACATATAATTGGTGGTTATCATAGAATTAGGTACTAGGTGATATACAACTCACTAAGGGATTCAGTTCAGCCTGGAACATAGCTTAAGAAAAAGTCTCTGGGCTTCAGATCTATCGCCACTAACATTTGCGTCAAAGAAAAAAAGAACTGGCTGGTTAGATTTTTTGAAAAATCTTTCAGGAAACCTCCCAAATTCTAAGATCCAGCTAAATTTAATGAAACCAGAAAGTATTGCGAGAGAGAAGTGAGAGTAGGAAAGAAATATCATGGGTCACTGTGGATAATTTTCCATTTCTGCTCTTCACTCCACAGATAGCTTCCCTTCAGGTCTTAATTGTCTGCACATTCCCATCCTGTCAGACCCTGTTTGCCACAGTGCCTACCCACATCTTATTACAAGGAATATGCTCTGTGTCAGCTTCCTAAATGTGCGAAAGGACACTTGCCAGGTATGTTTGTTTTCCTCCTCTGTCTAGCTCATCAGTCTCACCCCTACTCACATGTTTCTCCATGTGAAACGAAGAAGACTCGAATTCTATATCTAAGAACTAGGGTGAAAAATGGCTCAATGGATAAATCACTTGCTCAAGAAGGACAGGAGCTGAAATTTGGTCCTCGGAATCCACAATCCACTTAAAAGCCAACAGGCTCAGCAGCAACTTGTAATGCTAATGCTAGAGACACAAATACAGGGGGGAACTTCTTGAGCAAGAATCAACAAGCTCAGAGGAGAGCTTTGCAGCCAGTCCTGAAGATACCTGATAAAACAGGATCAGATGAATGGGGAGGAGGTCCCCCCTATTAGTGGACTTGGCAAGGGGCATGGTGGAGATGAGGGAGGGAGGGAGGGACTGGGAGGGAATGAGGGATCTGGACACAGCTGGGATACAGAGTTAATAAAATGTAACTGATAAGAAAAAAATAAAATTCAAAAAAAAAAAGAATCAACAAGCTCAACAAGGGACTGTATTGATAAGTAAAAATGGAGCACAGTGAAGGAAGTCATCCAACATCAGCCTTAGGCCTCCATCACCCGATCACACGCATGCATGTGCTACCATCTACACACTCATCTACAAAACCACAAACACATGTGCACACACGCTCCACATACACACACACAAATTTAAATTTTCTGAGGTTGAATCCGAAAGGTGAGAAACAGCTTTATCATACACTGCAAGCTTTCTGTTTGTGATGTGGTGGTTAGCATTGGTGGTCTTATACCACAGCAACAGTGCGGTCCAGACAAGACACACAGGCAACATGTTGCAGGAAACCGTTGTGGAAAGGAAGAACTGGTGAGGCAATCTTTTTATTTATTATTTATTTATTTGTTTGTTTGTTTGCTTGTTTGTTTTTAACTTTTATTAATTACACTTTATTCATTTTGTATCCCCCCTGTGGTTCCCTCTCTCCTCCCCTCCAGTTCCCACCCTTCCCTCCTTTCTGCATGCATGCCCCTCCCCAAGTCCACTGATAGGGGAGGTCCTACTCTCCTTCTTTCTGATCTTAGTCTATCAGTTCTCATCAGAAGTGGCTGCATTGTCAGGGTTCTAGGTGAGGCAATCTTAAATCTCTCCAGTCTTCACCTCTTATTGCCTCAACAGAACTGGGACAGAAAGAAGTGGGGCCATTAAAAAGTGTATCAGTGGTATAGCTGGATCTTGAGGAAGCAATATTCCTAGCTGTCTGAGGAAGCACCAGATTGCTTTCCAGAGTGGCTGTACAAGTTTGCATTTCCACCAGCAGTGGAGGAGGGTTCCCCTTTCTCCACAACCTCTCCAGCATGTGTTGTCACTTGAATTTTTGATCTTAGCCATTCTGATGGGTGTAAAGTGAAATCTTAGGGTTGTTTTGATTTGCATTTCCCTAATGGCTAATGACATTGAGCATTTCTTTAAGTGTTTCTTTGCCATTCTACATTCCTCTATCAAGAATTCTCTGTTTAGCTCTGTACCTTATTTTTTTTATTAGATTACTTGATTTGTTGCTGTTTAACTTCTTGAGTTCTTTATATATACTGGATATTAGTCCTCTGTCAGATATAGGGTTGGTGAAGATCCTTTCCCAATCTGTAGGCAGTCATTTTGTTCTGATGAAACTATTCTTTGCTTTACAGAAGCTTGTCAGTTTCATGAGGTCCCATTTATTGATCGTTGCGCTTACAGCCTGTGCTGTTGGTGTTCCGTTCAAGAAGTTATCTCCTGTGCCAATGAGTTCAAAGCTCTTCCCCACTTTTTCTTCTAAGAGGTTTAGTTTATCTGGTTTTATATTGAGGTCTTTGATCCACTTGGACTTTAGTTTTAAGTATGGATCTATTTGCATTTTTCTACATGCAGACATCCAGTTAGACCAGCACCAATTGTTGAAGATGCTGTCTTTTTTCCATTGAATGGTTTTGGCATCTTTGTCAAAAATTAGGTGTCCATAAGTGTGTGGATATATATCATGAAATTTGCAGCTAAATGGTGGGATCTGGAAAAGATCATCCTGAGTGAGCTATCCCAGAAGCAGAAAGACACACATGGTATATCCTCACTAATATAGACATATAATATAGAATAAACCTACTAAAATCTGTACACCTAAAGAAACTAATCAAGAGGAAGGAGTCTTGCTAAAATGCTCATTCTTATCCAGAAAGGCAAAGAGGATGGACATCAGAAGAAGGAGAAAACAGGGAACAAGTGAGGAGCCTGGCACAGAGGACCTCTGAAAGGCTTTGCCCTGCAGACTATCAATGCAGATGCTGAGACTTATGGGCAACCTTTGAGCAGAGTGCAGGGAATCTTAGGAAAGAAGTGGGAAACAGTAAGATCTGGAGAGGACAGGAACTCCACAAGGAGAGCAACAGAACCAAAAAATCTGAGCACAGGGGTCTTTCTTGAGACTGACACTCCAACCAAGGACCATGCATGGAGATAACCTAAGACCCCTGCACAGATGTAGCCCATGGCAGTTCAATATCCAAGTGGATTCCATAGTAATAGGAACAGGAACTGTCTTTGACATGAACTGATTGTCCTGCTCTTTAATTACCTCCCCCCGAGGGAGAAGCAGCATTACCAGGCCACAGAAGAAGACAATGCAACCACTCCTGATGAGACCTAATTGACTAGGATCAGAAGGAAGGAAAAGAAGTCCTCCCCTATCAGTGGACTTGGGGAGGGGCATGCATGCAGAGGGTGGAGGAAGGGAGGGATGGATTGGGATGGGAGGAGAGAGGGAACCACAGGGGGGATACAAAGTAAATAAAATGTAATTAATAAAGATTATTAATTAACTTTACAAACAATCAACTTTACAAACAAAAAGAAAATTACAGGAAAAAAAAAAGTGTATCAGTGATATACTCAGACAATTGTGTGCTAGACTTCCAGGATTAAAGTGAAGGGGTTAAGAGATAGCCGTAGGATCATGAAGGGCAACCTCAAATCTCAGCCTTTCTTTGAGTCTCATCAAGAACCCTAACTGTTTTTCTTCTTGTTCAGTATGACTCTGGTGGCCCCATGGTCTGCGATAAACAACTCCAAGGTGTTGACTCCTGGGGCAGTAACTGTGATGAGAAAGGGAAACCTGGTGTCTACACCAAGGTGTGCAACTACCTGGACTGGATTCAGCAGACCATTGACGCCAACTAAGCATCTCTCCTAAGCCATCCTTCATAGTCAACTTCACTTTGTACTGGGCCTGAGATGGGTATGGAAATAAAAGCATTATGTTCTGCCATACACTTGTCTATGAATTGTCTTTGTTCGATAATAACGAACTTTCTCTTCAAACTTGTCATTTTCTTGAGGTATGCAATCACTGGTAAAATTGTCCATGTTTCAGTAGATAAGTTTCTATGTATGGCAGGAATTTATAATTAAACTTAATGATATTTTTTAAAAAGATACCAACATAGTCAAGTTTTTTTTGGAAGAAGGATTTCATCAGGATAGAATAAGAGTGGATAAT